GAAATAAGATATTTGTAAATAATATATTAAATTTCTCTATTCTTGTCTATTTTAGGTACTGCTGCTGCTGCTGCTGCAAGATATTCGACACAGCAATCCAACTGTGATCCAAACATAGTTTCCTGTTTAACGTCTGATAATTACATGCAGTGTGGTACAGGATCGATACACAGCATAAAATTTATACCGCGAACACTTAATATAGATTTTGGAATGCCTACGAGAGGAGATTTAATAAGAAATATTATTGAAATTCCTGCTACGACTTTGATTCCTCCATTGCAAGAGCCTACAAATCGTTTGCCCATTCAATATGATTCACCTATGCTAGAAAAGTCTCTAGATTTACCTACGAATGAAAGAATTATAGAGAAACAGGCGGTAAATATGCTAAGAGTCAGGCGTAAAAAAATGAAGAAACATCAACGAAAGAAGTTGCGCAAGAAGATGAAATTTATAATGGAAAAGGTAAGGCTAAAAAGAAGACAGAAGAAGGAGAAATTGTTTCAAGCTGAACTAATTGCCAAAATTAAGGAAGCAGAAGCGTTTGATGCTAAGGAGTATGTTAACGAGAAATTAAGTATCTTGAATAAGAAGATATTACCAAGAACTTTCAGAGGCGAGATTTTGCCTGCTGAGATGATTAAACAGTTTTTGGATGAGAAAAGAGCAACGAAGGAAGCTAAACGTAATAAACCCCGTTTAACCTTATAACTTATGTATAAGTTGTGGCAATAAAGTTTTATTAGAATGGTAATTACGATTCTTTTTGTAATTTATATTCAAAAAATAAATAATATTCGAGTATGAAAATAAGGAGGTAATAAAGAAAAACAGGATTAAACGCACAATAAATTTACTTTCTTATAAAAAATAAGTTACTTATACAGTCATTCATTCATCAAAGCTTTCATATATAACGATCGCATTAAGGCATTTATATAGGTATACAGATGAAACTTTATCTTCATTCATTCGATTCGATTTTGGTTTTTTGTACATAATAATAACGAAATGATACTTAATCTACTGCTCTTTTTAATAAATATATGTTTGGAAACTTTTTATTTGGTTTTAATATTAGTTGTGTGTTGACATGCAAGATACCCTTATGAATTTATAAAATAATTCCGAAATTGTAAGACGCTCTTTACAATTTCGTATTTATCTTATGCTTATAACTCTCATTGACACTGTCATTACACATAGCACCTATTACATTACAGTTTAATACTATGATTTAATAAATAGCATCACTTTTATTCATGCATACTTTGTTAATTAAGTCGTTAAAACATAATTGGTCTCTCTTGTTTTACATCTTCAGGAGGAAAATTGGGATATTAAAATTAAAATTTATATTTATATATAATTTGCTACTTTGTTCAAATAATATCTCACGTATGATTTGAGATTATGAAAATGTTAATGTCTGCTAATTGCATATAATTAATCATTTTCATGCTTTGTAAACAAATACATGCTGTAAAATAATATAACATTTTGTCTCTAAAAACTTCTTTGATAATATTTTAAAATTATAACGTGTATATATATATTTTTTTTTCTCGTATCTTTATATTTCGTTTTATTTTTTCATCGTTTGTCTAAAAATATTTTATCTTCTAACTAAGGTATATTTGTCACAAAGCAAACGTCAAAGTTTTAAAGTACTTGTCCATTTCATTGTTCTTGTAGAAGTAGATAACGTTCTTAGTCGCTAACAAGCAAATGCTTTTTTTTCTACTAAAATAATTCTTTTAAAGTAAGCAACATTGCAAAAGTTATATAATTAAAAATGATTCTCTCTTTCACGGTAATATCTGGCCTTTTTTAATTTCTAAAACCTTTGGCTTATTACTTATTCTGCCTGTCATCAAAGCATTACTTCTGCCAGAGAAATAGTCCTCAATCTCTTGTAACGTTCTATCTTTAGTTTCTGGAAGGCATATGTAGAAGTATATCGTGCCAAACAAAGATATACAACCATAGAGAATAAATGTACCATGGCGAGTGAGTACGCTGGCCAGGAATGGATAAGTTTTAACTACCATAAAGATAAACGAATGCGCGCACATAGTAGTCAGTCCACCGATAATACCGCGTACTTGCACGGGATAAACCTCGCCTATCATCACCCACGGAATCACCAGGAAGCCCAAAGTGCAAGTGATGGTGTATAAGAATATGCACATGACTGGGACCCATGTGGCGACGAATGGAAGATCATTCTCGACCCAGTAATTTTTCAACCACATATATCCACCTAATCCTATCATGGAAAGTCCGCATCCGATGGAGGATATCATTGTGAGCGGTCTCCTACCGCATCTTCTACATAGGACGCAAGCGACGATAGTAGAGGTGAGTCTGACTATTCCCAATATAACCGCCGCTAAGTACTTGTTCATACTTGCTCCCGAATCCTTGAAGATTTCGACGGCATAAAAAGTTATAACGTTGGTGCCTGACCATTGATATATCAAGAAGTACAGAAACAGCAAGGCGAAAGGTTTGAGAGCATTGGGTTTTAGCACAGCGCACATAATCTCTCGAAAGCCGGTGAGTCGTTTGATGTTGTTCTTGTTAGAGAACTCAACCAATGTCTCCATTTCCTGATTCACGTTGTAAGTACTGCCGCGGAATTTCTGTAGCGCCTTCTTGGCCTGATCTGGTTTGCTGCGCGATATGAGGTAGGACGGGGTCTCTGGGAAGAAGAACATCAACACCAATGCAGTAAGTGGCAGAATACCGCTGATGGCGGCGCAGACGTTCCATGTAGCTACACTTCCTAGAGCGTATTCTATCAGAACTCCTGTGCTGACACCGACGCTGGCAAACGCGATCAGCATTCCTCGTAGATGTGGTTGTGTCACCTCGCTCGTGTAAACGCGGGCTGGTGCACCCACCATGCCCGATCCTAGACCGACGAAGAAACGACCAGCATATATCACGCGTATGTCAGTCGCGAACGTAATTAGCAGCCATCCAAGTACCGCTGGGATCTCGGTGATGATGAGTGAACGTTTTCTGCCGAACATGTCCATCATGTAGCCGGACAACAAGCAGCCGATCGGCGTGCCGATAGAGGATATGCTAGCTGCGAGAAAAAAAAAGAAACCGATGAGAATTAATATATTTTTTTCCGTAAGAATAAATTAGAAGAAAAAATCCAGTCGAAAACCAACTAAAAGTAATATATACCAGTAATGTGACATCATAATGTAAAAATAAAGGACAAAATTGAGTTTTGAAAAAATAAATAATCTAAAGGACAAGCTAGAAATAATTAACTTTCCTGGAAATAATTAACTTTCCTTTATAAAGGATGTACAGTCACCAATTGCATTACATTTATATTACTGAGTGCAAAGTATAACATTGGTGTTACGTTACTTTTAATTTATGTTGACTGGGAAGAAAGTATCTCGGAAGAATTGTAGATTTTAAATCCTTCTCAACGACCTACCGATCCACGATTCCTCCGTCGATCCCTCCTTGATGGGAATGATGCTGTCTGGCTCCTGGAGCTGCGGCAAAGCGATGGCGGAGAAACCAAATACCATGCCCGTGTTGATGGTACCAAGCTGGGCAACCAGGGCGGCCAAGACTTGTCTGACGGCGCTACCCCTGGGCGGTCGACCGTTCTCAGGGTCGCTGTTTGGGACGGTACCGTTCGCCAGATTCGTCCTCTCATCATTGAGTAGCGCGGAAGGCTGGATTTTCGGGAGCAACGTCGAGTCCACCAGCGTCGCCTTCTCCGGGTCTTGCGTATCGGTATTTTTTCTGTAAGAGGAACGATTATTAATTACGACAGAAAAACAACTCGAATGTATGTATAAGCTACAGCTGTAATGCACTATTACTTATATGTTATTTAGACGGCTGAGTAACGTGTCGCGTTCCACACATATATAATACATGCGGAAAGTTAACGATGGAAGCAACATTTTTGCATTCGCGACATTCATTATCGCGCTTACTGGAATATTTATATACAATATAACGAAGCGAGGAACAAGCGCAAGGTTACGTTTATGCAAATTACACGGTGATTAGAC